TGTCAGCTGGAGATGTAACCATATTAAAATCTTCCCCTAACATCGCTGGTCCTTGCCAGGATAATTGCTAACTTTTGCAAAAACCAGTGAAAATCGACGGCAATGAGTAGTGAACAAAACCTGCTCCGCAAGTTGGTGCCACCTCTGTTGTTGCTGGTGTGCCTTCTCTGGCTGGATGCTTTGCCGCTACGGCTTTGTCTATCTTGTAGGCAACCTTTGCGTTGATTGCTCAGTTATAGATCATGGGTCCTGAGGGAAGTCGCTCTTTCTTCCTTCTTTTTTTCTTCTTCCTATGTTTATTTCAGGTCACTCACCACTAGTTCGATGGTTTATAAGCTGTCCTATGAGGGTTCTCTCATAGCTGTGTCGTGTAATTCACTCATCTTAATGAAGAACGAGCTATATTCCCAGGTTGTGAAAAATAAGCTGGTGCACCTCCTGGTACTCTAGTTGTGTCCCTGAGCCTTGCACACCGCTTCCATGCATTATGCCCTCAGCACTAGTGCACTACTGATGTTGTTCGTGTTACGCTTGCATCACTCGCAGGTCTCACAGCGCCGACTCAAGCGTCGATGCGCTCGCCTCCCCGCCGCTAGTCGCTATAAATATGCCCGGCTTGCTCCAAGTGCCCCTCACCAAGGATTGGTCGTCGAGCGCCTAGCGTCGTGACCCTCCTCATGCACACTCACCCTTTCTTTCTCGACCGAAGTTGCATTATACACTGGCTGGGAATTGTGAGTCTAGGGTTTGGAGAGTTTAGGGAAGAAGCATACAAGTGTATCATCAACGCCGAGAGGTGGTGCACGCATACCAAAAAATCAACGGTGGACGCAAAGGAGTGGAGAGTTGGCTCGCCCGACATGCGGCCGGTGTTGCGCTTGGGCCGTGAGCGCGGACCGCTCCACAAACTCCACCGTGGAGTAGCTACACGAAAAACTTGCAGGAGTTTGTGGAGCACCCCTTTAGATGCTTCAATAACTCCACCTTTTTTTTCCTCGAAATGAGTGCGGGGAGCTAAACCTATTTGGCTAAAAAACATGGAGCGGAGCTGAAAAACATGGAGTGAAGCAGTCCCTAACACCTACTCCCTCCGGTTCTCTAAAGCAAGTCGTTTTGAGGTTGTCTTAAGTCAAACATTTTAAACTTTGACTACAAATAACTTCTTTTGGGTTGAGTTTGAAAATATGAAAGTGATGTAAGTAGATTCATCTCGAAATGTAGTTTCATAAAAGTATATATTGACTATATTTTATAAATATTTTATAGCAAAAAGTAGCGGTCAAAGTCGTTTCTTAAAGACCGTGTCGATGTCCAAAACGACTTGCTTTATAGAACCGGAGGGAGTACTAAATATGCTAGTATTCACTTATTATTCATGGATGCCAAATAATATCGGTCGTATAAGTCTTGCTAGATAGATGGGATATGAATGGATTCAAATTTCAAGACCGGCTAAAAATCAAACTCTGACCTTGTATCCCGAGCGAGATTGGTGTTAAGTCTCTGCGCTTGGTGTTTGATTTGCCGATTGCGGTAGCGGTAGGTGCACGACGACGATGTGTCCTGCTGTGTCCATGAACGAATAAATCGATATTATAAATCTCTGATGAAATGCATTTGCTCATCGCCTTATTGCAACGACGATGCGCTGTTTTGGTTGACTTTCCTGATTGATGGAGCACGCCATGCGTGACGATAACACACGCCGATGATGCCAATGCCAATGCCAATGCCAGCCCGCGCGCTCTGCATGCAGTCGGCCTGCTCCCGGGCCCTTCCATCCGTTGACTTTTGCATATAAGACAGAGCCCAGGCGATGGAACAAGAAGAAATTTACAAAAGCAAATAATGTGCTTATGCATCTTCTCTGCTCGGTCGAAGGTAGATCTATCTCAGAAATGGATCAAGCCAACCATTGTAGTTTTTTTTAATAACTATACCAACCATTGTAGTTTGTACTACAATATGCGACAGCTGAGTACTGTATATATATGTCAACGGTCAGTCATTTGTGCTTACCCTCCCACACCACTTTGCATATATATGAACCGGTACGGTACGTTAAGCTCCCAGGTCAACTGGTGCAGATCACCGTATATATTAGGTGTAAAGCTGCCGTCAGTGGATATATGTATAAGCACTTTTTACTGGTACAACTTCAATATTGAAATCAAAGTCAGCTAGCTAGCTAGTACTACTAGTAGCTATAGTTGGCAATTTGGTTTATCTGTGCCTAAATCTACTAAAGATATATAAACATATAAGATCCATATTGCATCATCTAAGTCATGTATCTTTATATAGTTCAGTCCTCAATAGAAAAAGGAAAAAGGTGATGTAGTGTCCAGTGAGACTTTGAGACTAGCAATTAATAAAGTAATCGTGGGTGTGCTTAGACCGGACCTCTTTTGCTAAGTGTTATTAGGTCGTACCTCAAATAGGCACTCCCTCCATTTAGTCTTTACATTATTGCACACCCCTAGAAATTTAACATAGTGTGGCATTGTCAACAACAACAAAACAATAACAACAACAAAAAATTATATACACACCTGACCTCGCTCCAATATAGCAAACAAAACAACATTTGTACTTTTGTAGCGTTCCATTACTCAAACATATATATGTTTTATGCTAAAGAAAAAGAAGGCCAATTCACTGAAAGGTCTAAAAAAAGTCATAATTAGTAATTAGTGTAAAGCTAGCCATGAGACGACGACCTCGTTAGGCATGTGTGTACAATGGTCCGTACTCCGCAGACCGCACCTAGCTAGCTTGTGTTCCAAAATGTTCCCTGTGGTTCAGGGACACTTTGTGCGTCACAAATTTTGGTGCCACGAACTTGCATTGCCTACCTCATCAGGTCCGTGCGTTCCGTGTGGCCAAGGGAGCTACGTTGATCATGTCTTCATCAGCGACCTCCCAGCGAAGGCAGTGAGCTAGGAGCGGTGGCCAGTGGGTGTTGGTCGAGCGAGACTTATCAGAGTACCATCAACTTGGCAATTGGCATACATGAGCTAGAAAAGGTACACATGCATGCATGAATTCATATTCATGAACTTGCATTGATCTGGTCCAAGAATTTGACTAAGGCCAGTCTCGGTGGAGCTTTCATGACTCAGTTTTCAACACACTTATATTTTGGAAACACCAGAAGAGTTTCATTCCTATGAAACTCTTTCTACTTCCATGAAACTTTCATCATCTCTCTCTCATCAATACAGTGTCACGTCAGCATATTTAATGCCCATAAAATTCTACGAAACTCATTGAGATTGGCTCAAGGGCACCTCTGATGCAGAAACCACCGTAGTTTTTATGGACATTAATTGTACTACCACATAAGCGTTGCTGATGTGGCAAGGTAGTTATTGAAGGGAGAGCAAAAATCATAGAAACCGGGTCTAAGTTAGAAATCATGTCTACACGAGAACCAAGATATGAAAGAATGTGATTGGTAGAGAATGGAGAGAGAATGTATGTGATTGGATAAAACAATGTTCGGTATAAATTATTCATTGGGAACATAGTTTCTATATATAATGTCTATAAAAATTAATAGGTATAGAAACTATCTATAATTTTTAGTATTGGGGTAACAACGCATGCATTTGCGTGGCGAACTGGTCCAGCTAACTAATCTGAATATTCCTCTCGGATTTCTTAGGATTAATTGATTGGTACTGTACGGTGTGGCGCAACTTGATACTGCCACTAGGGATGTGGTTCAGCGGTTGTCCACCAACATATAAATAGACATTAATTTCTATAGGTTATACGGGTAAGACTATCTCTAATAACAACATTCAAAATACGAGATCCATTTAATGTTTAGCTAGCGCTACAGTTAAAGGGTTTAATACATATTCGATATTCTCTCCAACAACAAGATCCAAAAAAGAATCTTTTTGCAAATGGATTTTCAGGAGAGAGGATACTCATATTTAGGTTGTGCCTCTCAGACAACCAAAAATAAGTCTTCCGTAGAGGTACTCTGTTGGAGGCTAATTTTTGATCTACTGCTACCTATTTTGGATTTTGGTGTCCATGTAGGTCACCGAAGACAGTCTAAGGCTATCTCCAACAACAACACCCAAAATACAAGATATATTCGTCCTTTGGGTAGCACTACTGGCAAAATGTTCAATACATATTCGACATCTTCTTCAACAACAAGACCCAAAAGATAATTCTTTCTGTAAATGGGTTTCCAGGAGAGAGGATGCCCATATTTGATTGTGCCTCTCAGACAACCAAAAAAGATCTCCCGTATAGGTACTCTGTTGGAGGCTGATTTTGGGTCTCTTACTACCCATTTTGAATTTGGATGCTCATATAGGTTCCTTATTGAAGACAGTCTAACCCGTATAATAATGCGTCTTGCATCCCAAGGCTCAAGAAATACTAGTAGCGATCGTAAATATCGTAGAGTTGGGCATCAAGTTTTCTCTCACATTTTCAAACCAAGAGTGATAAATAATCCACGATACGATACGACCTCCCGAACAGCCTAGTAGCTATGAGAGGTTGGGTATCAGTAAATGATCGTGAATTATTTACTGCTGGCTAGTTTGATGTGTGAAAAAAATACTATTATAACTTATAATCTCGATCGTATACGAGGCAAGAGAAGAGGCTGATCAGTCACCAGTTTCGAGGTCTCGTCAACATCAGCTGACTCAGTGGTGTCTTGACTCTTGACTGCTTCGTTCATCGTCGACCTCGACTTGGATCCGTCCAAAACGGCAGACTGCAGTAGTGCAGTACCACCCGTTCTGTTCTGCTGCAGAGTGCAGAGTGCAGACCCAGCCCTCGTCGACATGGCGTCTCTCCTCGACGCCTATTTATGCCTACACCTCTCGCCCCTCAACCTACAAGAACCAGGAACAGACAGCAGCTCAATTGTCTGTCAGTATTCAATTCAACAGGGACTGTATGTAAGATCAAAGCTAATAATCGTGAATTCAACAGCGTGCACACTCCACACTATACGTACACAAATGGCCGTCGCGAAGGCACTTCTCCTCCAGTCGCAAAGCGTCGTCGTCGTCGCCACCGCGCTGCTCCCGGCCTCGCGCCCGCGCCGCGGTTCCCGGCTCTTCCGGCTGCGCACGCGGGCCCAGCAGGCTAACCTCCGGCAGCTGGTCAGCATCGACGACCTGCGGCAGGTCGCCCGGGACGACGACCACGCCGTGAACGGCCGCGCGCCAGCTGGTACGCCGCCGACGCCGCCGGAGTGCGCCCGCGCCGGCACCGGCACCGCGGCGCAGAGGCTCCGCGCGATCGCCGAAGCGGCGGCGGACCGCGCCGACATGCACGACATCATCGGCAGGCAGCGGGACAACTGGAACCACCTGCTGCTCCACTCCACCAACTCGCTGACGCTGGCGGCCTCCGTCATGGCCGCGCTGGCGCCCGCCGCGCCGGCCATGGCCGCGCTCAAGGCCTCCGCGGGGGCGCTCCTGGCCACGGCCGCGGTCACCATGGCCGCCGTCAACAGGATCCAGCCGTCGCAGCTCGCCGAGGAGCAGCGCAACGCCACGCGCCTCTGGAGACAGCTCGAGCGCGACGTCCGCGCCGCGCTCGACTACCACCGGACGGCTACGGCTACGGCGACCGCCGAGGCCGACGTCCAGGAGGCCATGGACAGGGTGCTCGCCCTCGACGCGGCGTACCCGCTGCCTCTATTCCCCGGCATGCTCGACAAGTTCCCCAGCACCGTCGAGCCCGCCCGGTGGTGGCCCAGACGAAAGTCGCCGGCTCAGTCTGCCAAGACCATCAACGTCGGCGCCCGGCGAGGCGCCACGTCGGGGAACGGCTGGACGCGGGATCTGGAGGACGAGATGCGCGGCGTCGCGCGGGTGCTCAGGGCCAAGGACGAGCGGGAGCACGTGTGGAACGCCAAGCTGGCGCTGCGGCTCAATCGCGGCCTCGCCGTCGCCGGCCCGGCGCTCGCGGGCACGGCCGCGCTGGCCACGGCCTTCATCGTCTCCTCCTCCGGAGAGGCCGCCGCCGGCTCCTGGGCCTCCGACGCCGCCGCCCTCTGCGGCGCGCTGGCGGCGGCGGCCAACACGGTGGAGCACGGCTGGCAGCTGGGCATGCTGTTCGACATGTTCCGCAACGTTGCCGGGTTCTACCGCAAGATCCAGGAGGACATCGAGGCGTGCCTCGACGAGGCTGACGTCGAGCTCAGGGAGAACGGCGAGGTGTTCCAGACCAAGGTGGCGCTGCTGCTCGGCCGGAGCACGTCTGACCTTAGGCAGTTCAGGGAGATGGCATCGCCGTCGTTCAAGGACGACGACATCAACGACTTCGCCGGGAAACTGTTTTAAGACTCTGACCAAAGTCTGGTTGTAGTTTGTACTACAGTGCCCTCAACTGTTCATATGTACTGTGTAGCTAGCATCTTATTTTATATGCCGACGATTTTTAACGATGACAAGTTCCAAGTTTTTTTTACAACCTAGTAGATTTTATTTTACCACACCGATCAAAATTTAATTACATCTCTCAAACATTTAGGTCTTATTTGAAGTTGGATTCGCATTAATCAACATCTCAATTTACTCCAACAAATGTGAATTGAAACGGTAACATCCAAACAAGACCTTAAATGGATATCCATAAAAAAAAGCGGCATGTAGATCCATAATAAAAGTGGAAAATTTTCATCGTCCTAGAGACACATATATAAAGATGTTAAATATAGGTAGGATAGGAAATGACCCATTGTTTATGGTTTAGCTAAATACTCCGTACATCTTCATCATATACTACTAGTATAATAGCGATCATAAATTTCGGCTTTAAATATTTATATGAACTCCGGTTCATGTCATACTGTAACATTATTTCCCCAAAGGAATTAGCCTCTCACAAATTCACAAATTCACAATTCACACACAGTAGCGAAAACGTTTGGCATCTGGCAAATGAAGTCATGCAGCCCACTGAGTGGCCCAGCTTAGTTCCATGGATGGGCCTTTCGTGATGCAGCCCACTGAGTAGCCCAGCTTAGTTCCATTGATGGGCCTTTCGTCAGTATATATATATGGGCTTAAACCAGTTGCATCTTCTGCTGCTCTGAGAAATACAGCCCGCAAAGTACTGTAGATCCGTTGCCTACCCTACACGGCGATGATGGGGCTATCGGAGGAGTGGAAGTGGAACTGGTGCTCACGGCGGGGATGCCGCACGTGGCGCGACCGTGTGCCGTTGCCGCAGCGGTGGCGGGGGTCGCACACCCTCCACGAGTTGCCGTTCGGCAGCAGCTCTGGCAAGTACGACATCCACGGTAACGACGGTCAAAACATTGACTCCTCCACTACGTTGCCACTTGGATGAATGATAAGAGCATCCCTAAATCTCTTCTTAATCCTCGATTTTTAGCGAGATAAGAAAAAATCATCTCCAACGACTCCTAATCCATCCTCCTAATCTTTTAGAACTTCGAAAAAGTCACCACGTTCCGCGTAAAGTTACGCGCTTCCGAGTCCCGCGTATCTTCTCTCCCGCGCATGTTTATCGGCAAATCTAAAGGTGGAAGAGCGTGGAAAGAATAAATAGTAAAAAAGTGTTTCTGATGCAAATGCACGAGAGAGAAAGAATATATAAAAGTGTCTAAGATAACTTAGAAATAGTATAGGATTACTTATCTAAAATTGTCTTCTATATTTTAGAAGTGGATTATTAGGAACTCTTAGAGATTGCCTTCTTTATTTCTTCCAATATTTTTTTTATGAATTATAAAACTTCATGTTTTTAGAAAGAAAATATTTGGTACTTTTGGAGATGCTCTAAATAGGTCTATCTATGTCTACGAATGTGTGTCCAGTCACAAATCTATAAACAACGCATGTAACAACACGGTTGCAAACAGACTAGCTAGAGAAATGGATCGAAGATGAGTGCTCAACGGAATGGCAGATCGCAAGAAAAAAGAAAGATATACTCTATTGGTATCTCAGTGACACGCGAGGCTCACACGAGTCAATAACATGTGGGACATAATATCTCTAATTTAGCAAAATTATAATGACCAGCTTCAGATTTTTCTTTAAAAAACAACAACTGACGGGGCCACGCCGCCGCACGTGGCGATGCTGGTGACGCCGGGTCGGAGGACCGGATCCCGCCTGGCGTACCGAAACCATGGCGACACGGAAAGGAAGCAGCTGACGGCGGGGACGCAGCGGCGTCGGGAGACGGCAAGGGCGATTTCACGGGGAGGGGGAGCGCGGCGGGGAGCCGTCGGTCGGAGTCGCTGCTTTGATGGCAGCCATGGGAGCCCTGTGGGCTCTTGGCCTGGGCCCTGGGGACAGCCCACCTCGATCCATGGGCTCATTTTGTCAGGCCAGATCGTGTTGGGGTTTGTTTGATAAAAAAGAGTGGGTCACAATCACACGCTCGCCTTGAGTATACTTATTAGTGCCGTATTGATTTTCTAACCACATAGAGGCCTGCTCAAATAACGACACTATATAGTCCATGAACCAGGGCTGGGAAGAGGGGTAAATGGGCTTGAGCCATGATCCGGCCTTCCCCATGGAGCTTGTTTTTGGCGACGGAGCAAAAACGGCGCGGCAACCAGCTCTCTCATTCGAGCCTTGCTCGCTCGTGGTGGAGAGCGTTGAGCTCGCCCCGCCCCTTCTTCCAACTCTTTTTTCTTTTTCTCATTTTTTCTCACGACTCTCTTTTTTTTCTCATTTTTTCTCGACTCATCATGGCGTTTTTAGTAGGGCTATATATTTTGCGTAATCGGTCAGGTTCTTTTCAGGGGCTAGTTACTAATTGTGGCGATTTTAGGGCTACTTTGCTATGGCCCTACTAATAATCGGTCAGTTTCTTTCAAGGTTCAGCTACTAATTGCGGCAATTGCTATGGCCCTACTACTACTAATCGGTCAGGTTTTTTCAAGGTTCACCTACTAATTGCGGCACTGAACATTAGTTTTAAATGGCTTGAACATCATGAAAATTGATCATATCACTACCATAAAACACAACGGCAAAGCCAGTGCAAACACTCGTACATACATGCACATTCATTTCTATGAACCCACACTGTGGGGGATATACCCCCGGGTACCACAAGATGGTACATGGGCCGCACCATCCGAGGTGGCCCGGCCCGTAAGATCAAGGCGTGCACATCAAGATTACAAGTTGTACTAGATATTGTGATAGTACCAAATTGGATACTTTACTTGTAACCTTGTCTCTTCTAATGGAGTATATAAGGAGAGACAAGGGTCCCCTGAAGACAAAGTTAATCAGTATACATCTCAATACAATACACCAAAGACACATGACGTGAGAGTATTATACTGATCTGCTATTGTGCTTGAACTGTCTAAATCGTTGTCTCTCGCGCCTTGTGTCACCATCTTTCCCGATTACACACGCACTATAATCATCGATAATCTACCATTGCTAGGCACCCCTCGGTGGAAAAAAAGTCTTGATATTTTAACTAAAGGATAAATGGCGCGCCAGTAGGGGTGTGCGCTGATGATCCTTGGTGAACTAGATGGCGACCTCGATTCCACCGCACGGCGACAACTTGGCGACGGAATCAATCTACTACGGCTACAACTCAACGACCTCCGTTGCATACCGACGTCCATCCGATCCTCTCCTCAAACTACCGAACTACATGGCGGGCGCTTCGTCGAGAGATCCCATCGGACTCACAACGGACACACGCAGGCTCCAGATGCCCGTGATCTCAAACAACATGCATGGCTTCGGATCCGATTCCAAGAGATCGACATGAATCGCTTGGTCGCTTGGCCAGCCCGTGATCTCTGACAATTATGCATGCATGGCTTCGGGATCCGATTCAAGAGATCGACGGACGGGATCGTTGGTGGCCAGGCCCGTGATCTCTGACAAAGAGCTAACTTGCATGTGCGGGCGTATATGCACATATACAGATATATGCATATCCTGGACGAAGGATGTAAGCCAATGACAAACAAGCAAGCTAGATCATCATGCAAGCCGCACATACTTCCGTGTATACATGCATCTCGCTCGACGTTCTCACGAATCAGTTTTGGCAAGCTAGATCATCATCCGATCGCCGAGATCCAATCAAGACGTCACGACCTACAGCCCGCATACATGCAACCTCATCATCGACGCCTTCTCCGACTTCACCGACCCCACCGAGGACTCGATGACGCAACTTCGTGGCGTTTGCACTCCGAGCCGCATCCGCACAGAGTTCTACTCCAATTCGAATCAAACACAAGCAGATCTCCATGGAAGCAAATCTTTGCATGCATGCAAGCAAATAAGGAAGAAGTATGTACATATATACGTGCGTGCCAACTACGGATCGTTGCGCGGCACACTTGTATGTGCACACGCACATATGGCATCAAGCACGCTTCGACCACGTGGCTACGCCGAGCTCCCCCACGTCGACCACGGACCACGTCGACCACGTCCCCGGCGCGCTCTGCGCCGAAATTCCAACCACCACCTCGACCACCGCATCACGTCGCAATGATGATCGCCGCGAAGAATTTTGCTATAGCGCTTTGTTACAACCGCGACCATCGTCGTGACGACAAGTCGGAAAGCTCGAGGACCGACAACTTCATCGTCACCGACCAACATTTCTATCCAAAGATAAGTACACTTCTAATATTTATATTTAACATAATTTTCATTACGACGTTTCTCGTCATGATTATTCTTCAAATAACGATTGTCCATGTATACAATCTTAAAGATAACATACTGACTATACTTAATGCAAATCCTCGACCAATCATGTTGACGCTCGATGTCTCTAGAAAAGGCCACATCTCGGCTCCTCCCTACCGTGCATGCATGACCGTCGCCCTCTGCGTTATGGGTGGTCGACAATGGCTCCTTAGCGACGCTTTGTTCTTCCTACACGCGTGCACGGCCTCCGTGCCCCAGCGTTATGGTTAACGGGCTAGCTAGGGTGAAGACTCGACTACATACTAACTGGGTCTGGGACAGACGGTTTATATTAAGTTTAAACACAAACTTCACATTAACATGATGTTTACAAAGCACCAAATCGCTTTATCACATCATATCATGCTCATTTGCAAATGACCATGTTGAGCGTCATTTTTTCATAATTTATTATTTTGTACACCATGTACTACCATTCTATATATTTATATTGCAGTAATTTCGAGCTATGCTCGGGACTTCTTCGCTCTCTCTCGACACGTGCTCGGGACCGCCTTGACCACTCTCGACCACGTTTCGGGGGACTTCGCTGCCTCGCTTCTCACGCGACGGACGGGACTGCTCGACCACTCTCCGACCACGGCTCGGGGACTTCG